ATTGATGCACAAGTGAAAGTTCGTGCACAGCCACAATGCTTTCAATTATCGCTCTTTCATGACTTAAATTTGAAAGGGCGGCTTATTGACCAGCAGGGTGAAGCGTTATTTTCAACTTTTTGGAATTCGGATTCACTATAGTGCGGAAAAGTTTTGGCTGTGTTCAGAGTGTGCGCCAGTTTCTGGACAGAATCGGCAAGGAGACCGTGCATGTGGTTGGGCAAAGCAATATTGAAGTAGTGGGTTGCCAGTTCAAGCCCCCAACAAGCGGTGAATGTTCTATGTTAAGTATCGGCGACAGGCCTCCCGCCTAATAAACGCTGAAACCGCTATATACGTATGTTTGTTTATTACGGTCTGAACCTTTATCATTGTGCCAAACAACCAAATGATGTATCCACAATAGTGAATAGATTCAAGTTTCTGAAATTTTGATTTTAGTATGAATTGCGCCCAAATTTTGTCTGTTGAGTAATGAGCCTTATTTTCTCAGTTCTCACTTTGACACTTTCTACCTAGTGAAAAGTGAATGCCAGCAATGCTGCAACTAAAGCTAAAATAACTAGCCTCAAGTTTCCTGTATATGAGTGAAAAAATACAACTCAGTATTAACTGCATTGAGTTAGAGCGAGCTCATTTTCTCGTCGACGAAAACGTGAAGTCACGGACAGACAGACGGACACCGCGCACAATAGCGCCTTTTTTCCATAAATGAGAAAATGCGCTAAAAATGCATATATCTCAACAATGAAGGTTTTGACTTTTGAACTACAATTCAATGTTCATTTCTTTTATGCTTGTTGCTTTGCTGCCTAATCCTAATTGCCTCATGTACTCAAGAAAATGTCAAGATAACACGGGTAATGTAATTCACTTGTTTTTGCATCAGGTTTTAAAATACAAGCTAATTTTAGAGTATACAACCAGATGCAATTTTGAGAGGACTTTTATTATAACATTTTTACTCTACAAAGCTTTCATGTTTTATCGTGGCGTCTGGTTCAAATAAACTTCAAGGGCACATCACATAAGATTGTTGGCAAGCAAAAAATAAATAGACACATGAAAGGATGGGAACGGATAAAATGACTATATAAGCTCTAGAATTGTAGGCTCTACAAAATAGTTCCGTCTTTAGGCATCAACAAAACACCTGCAACGAACTAAACAAAGAAGCTGAAGTTACGGAAGTTGGCGGACTGTTCCAGGTTCTGGCGACGGCAATTTTGAACACCAATGGCCATGCAATCAATGTTATTTACAAATTCTCCTGCTTGAAGGAGAATTTGATTTTTTTTACAAGAATCCTGCTTGAAGGAGTCTACAACCTTGAATGAAGGTTGTAGACTTCTACAAAATGTAAATTACATCGGTGATTGATTTGACCAGCACGACATTGAGCCACCAACTCACATGCTATCTGCAAGCCGGAGGACCTAAGAATCATATATCATACAAGACCATTACCCTTGCCATGTTGGAGGCCTCACCAGCATCGTCATGCGGTGCCCCCACGCTACGAGACTGTCAATAGCGGAGGCTTTCATCATCAAGGACGAGTATCCTGCAATCAATTTGCAAACCGCCGGATTCGTCAGGACGTTGAAATAATTCTCAGTTTAATTTAATTTTCGATTTTGAACCGTATCTATATGGTACTTTTTGTATGTACTTATGCCATGTCCAAATTTCAATTTAAGCGTTGTAATAACTCTTCACCTACTTGATAATGAATATTGAATATTCAAAATGTCGTATTCCAGTAAAATGTAATTTTGCAACCTGCTTTTTTATCTCCAAGCACCAGCAAGAAGTTTTATTTGGTTAAACAAACGATAAGTAAATTGTTAATAAAAAGTATGCTCTGGTCTTCAATCGAACCTGCATAATCCTCTATTAATATTGATCAAGTTGATCCCAAATTTCCATGCACTATGGAGAAGGAGAAGTGTAGTCAACATCTGTTTTTCATCATTTCAATGCCTCGGCATTTTTGAAGAAATAAGTTGGCAACGTAAAAGAAATCAATCCATGGTCATGACATCCATGGTACTTTACTTTGATGTACCTCAACTAAAGAAAAAAATTGTGTCAAGAATACTCAAATTTAGAGGAATATCTCTGCTTTTACTGGAATGCAGACTAATAACATATTGATCTAGGCGCTGAAGTGTAGGCCTGATGTGGCCTGTCGCCGATTCTTTTCCTTTTCGTGCCTTGTTCACAGAAGATCTAATATCGTTTCATTTGACCGGATCTTTTCATGACTGACGATAGTTTCAAGTAGCTACTAGACTTCCACCGGGTTTGATATGGTGCTAGGCATTTCAAATCTGAACATATATATTTCCATAGCTTTATCTAGTCTGTTCTTGAACGCGTTCATACATGGAGCGCCAACGATGTCATCGGGGAGGCTGTTCCACATGTCGGTGATTCGAAGCGAGAAAAAATTTTGTCGCGTGGAGAAGTTGCAGCGCAATTTTTTTAGCTTATAGCCGTGGCCCCTGGTGTTGGTTCTTGTACAAAATAGGCCCCAGGACGCTTCCTTGTGGCACGCCACTGCGCACTGATGCCCAGTCTGACACGGTTCCGTTAATACTGACACGTTGTCGTCTACCTACTAGAAAATCTCTGATCCATTGGAGTACGTTTCCCTCTATCCCCAAGGACTTCACTTTACGCAACAGCCGCTCATGCGGAACACTGTCAAATGCTTTGCAAAATCGATGTACAATGCATACACTGGCTCCCTTTCGCCCAGCAGGCGAGTCCAATCTAACTAATCTAATCTAACGAATAAGTTAGTGGTGCAGGATCTGCCGGTAATAAAACAATGTTGACAATCTGATATGAGATGGTGAGCAGTCAAGTGATCGATTATCCATCCTATCCCTCACAACAGATTCCATTAGCTTAGAAACAACACTTGTCAGACTGACAGGGCGATAATTACCGGGGCTGCTTTTGTCGAGTTTTTTGAACAATGGTGTTATTTGAGCTTCTTTCCAGTTGGACGGCAAAGTTCCTTCGTTCAAGGTTTTTTGAAATAATACTGTCAATGGGCCGGCCAGAACGGTTGCTAATTCTTTGAGCTATCTGGGATGGAAGCCGTCTAGTCCACATGACTTGTTGGGATTTTGAGCTACGCAGGTGCTTGAGAACCTCTTCTTCGTGTATTTCAAAACATGTTAACTTCGAGCCGACTGGGCGCTCCTCAATATCTGGAATACTGTTCAAGTCCTCATCTGTCAACACACTGCTGAAGGACTGATTAAGAACGTTAGCCTTGCCCTCATCAGAGGAAATCTTTCGTTTGTCTACTTTCAAATCAGATATACCGTCCTTTGACTTACACTTCGAACTAGCGTACAAAAAGAAGACTTTCGGATTCTTTTTTGCATTTTTAGCAATATTTTTTTCGAAGTTTTTCACTGCAGTGCGACAAAATTTTTTATCTAGATTTCGAGCTCTGGCATACAGATATAATCAGACTCGCTGTGAGTTCGTAAATAACGCTTGTAGGCTTCTTTCTTGGTCTTTAGCTGAGTCTTAACTGCACTGTTCATCTACTGGGACTTTTTGACTCCTCCAAGCGTAATCTTGGGTACACAGGCATCAACTGCAGACATAACCGTGTCTTTGACAAACGACCATGAATCAGCCACATTCATGTCCTTAATACAGGTTGATTCATTCATGTCCTCAGTTGATTGTGTTGTATAAGAGTTGTGTTATCAATGGTGGTAATCTGTTTTGGTAAATACAAAAGTGACTCTGAAGGAAACAGATGCCTCAGTTGATTGTGAATTTATAAAGACATGACAAATAGTTGACGTGCACACACAAACTCACAGAGATTTTTACCTAACGGGTTACTCGACTAGGCATTGATTATTTACTTTTCCTTATATGCCTCTGCATTCTCGATGAGACCAAAGCACAATGAATTTTTATACCCGTAAAAGTACATTCTACAATACCGCAATGCGAAGGCAATTTATATGAAAGGGCAAAATTCTCTACCATCTTCTACGATACCCCTAAGAATATATAAACCTCATGCCTATTCATCTATTTTATTTACTGGAATAGTTTTGAATTTCGCTAAGTCTAAATGCTAGAGTTCAATCAATTTTTTAAAGCTGGCGTAAAATCTTATATAACTCATCAAAACAAGCGATGTTTTGAGAAAATGCATAATTGATTTATGGAGAGAAATTACGCATCTGACTACTTTTACTACTATGTAAAAAAATTCATAGATTTGCATAAAACCGTATTTATTGCTCGTCGACAAATGGTGCCCTCTCACATTAGGCGAGACTCGAAACAGATTCCCTAGAGGAAATGCTTTGATATTTTCTATCCATCAAGAGCAGAAATCCATTTTTAACAGTTGAGTCTACACTGACCATGAGTGCACATGACCGATGGGACCTAACCTGGACTTACCTTATAGCACCGATAGTCGATAGAGCGACTAGACCGCTAGAACCTGCTCAAGCCGAATACGCAAAACAACGAGACGGACAAAAGATGCAGGTGCTCCCTGTTGCAGGTATAGGACATGAACCATAAAATTTGCGGTAGAAACCCACAACTCACAACAAGCAAAGGTTGAAAATTAATATGTTCACTTATACATCAAATTTTTCTCGAACGCTGCATGTTTAATTTTAATGAATAACATTATTGTCAAGAATTTAGCAATTTAACACCACGCTTATTTCGGAATAGGTTTTATACAATAGCATTCATCAGTTCAACTAAGTGAACGAAGTCTGAGGCATTTTACATAATAATATAATTATAATAATAGCGGCTTCAGTGTTTATTATGCCGTAGGCCTGTCGCCGATTCTTAACATAGCAGAACATTCACAGCTTGTTGCGATCTCGAACTCGCAACTCATTGCAACAATTCTGCTGTCTTAACCGCCCGCTCTCCTTCCCGATTCCGACCAGAAACTGGCGCACAGAGCTGGGATCGAACCCGCGCCACTCTGCTCCAATCTTGGTACTCTGAACTGTAACCACTGGGCAACCCTGACTGGGGACATCGTCGTTCCATCGTCCACTGGGACATCGTCGTTCCAATACTACAATAACTTTATTCAATGGCATATAGTCTCATAGTGCATAATTACCGAAAGAGTATAAGCGCTATAATCAAACTTCATCACACAAGTAAGTTTAAGTAACTTTTTCCTTTTCATTTTTATCTCCCAAACACTTGATTTTCAACACTCGGATAGCCTTGAGGAACACATTAAATGCACAGTAACATAGAACAAGTGCTAGCAGAATAAAATCAAGGCTGAGGAATTCTATCCAGGAGAGGTTTCGCGCTGGGGACTTGAGGTGCGGCGCTCCCCGGAAGCGAGCCGCATACTCGGTCCAAAACACTGCGCGGTCAAGCGCTGTTTCTTCCTGGTCCCGGAACACCCGGGATACGAAGGCCATCTTTTCCTCGTAACTGCAACGAAATGATTAACCATAGAATCTGGAGTATTTTACGACCGCATCGTGAACGCAACCAAACTCTGAGTTGACAACATTGATCATGATTGTAACAAAAAAATAAAATTTCATATAGAGATTTGACATGCAGTATAATCCTTGAACTATCGGTTGTTACGTTCCAGACCTCGGCCGCGATAGGTAATAGCCTGGATGAGGTATTGATCAACTGAGTGTACTTATTTAGGTATTTATATTGTCATTATTTATTAATGCGCTAATTCTTGTATATAAGAATAAAAGTTATGTGTAAGCGACGGAACACAATTTTTGTGGATTTTTTTAGAACATTGTTTTGCTTCTGATTTTACTCAAGAGATTTGATTTATGTATGACTAAGTAATGCGTAAACATATATTTATTTCGTGGCTGTAATATGGAATCTCGTTTAACTGTGATATTAGTTTGTTGATTCTTAGGATTTAGTTGATAGCGTCTTGGGACAAGACTGAATGTTATAGCTCCAACGTGACTGGTTGAGCTGCTCCTGGCCTCGCGACGGTGCGAGCTTATTCCTCTAGGTAGTCATGAACGATGGAGAGTTCGGTCACTTTAGAATTAGTTTAGGATTATTCGACTTTTAACTGTGATTAGTTGGCCAAATGATCAAAATTATGATGACTTTATTATTATAATTATTATTCCACGAAAAGATTGTCGTGGCGTCTCGTTCAGATTGAACTTCGAGGGCACGTTACAAGTGGCTAAAAAAGACACGAGAGGATAAAAACAGATGACGTAGATGTTAAAACAGAGGACATATGCCAAGACTGATGACGTCTATGCTAGAACAAACAACACCTATGCTAAACCTGCAATATCCATGATAGATTAGATGACGGCTAGGCCTACGATTCAAAGGCTCTACGGAAAAGTTCTGTTTTTAGGCGTCGACGAAACAACGGCAGCGAAGAAGCAGATGTTACCGATGCTGGCAGACCATTCCATGTTCTGGCCGCAGCGACCGGGAACGCTCTGTCGCCGACGATGGACAGACGTGAGGACGGGACGACGAGGTCAGCCTTCGACGAGGAATGCAGTCGCCTTCTAGAAGGTAGATCCGACACGCGCCGTAGGCCTTCAGCGAGATAAGGTGGTGCTAAACCATAGAGGCAGCGAAACGTCAAAACAGCGACTTTAAACTGCTTGCGCTGCTGGATGCGCGGCCAGTGAAGGTCACGCAAAATCGGTGTCACGTGGTCGAATTTCCGTCGGGCACAAACGAGTCGCGCGGCAGCGTTCATTACGAATTGCAGTTTGTTAAGTGCCGTGATGGGAAGTCCGTAGAGTGTGGCATTGCCATAGTCCAGTCTGGTCAGCACAAGCGCCACCATGAGGGCCTCGAGGACCGGCCTCGAGAGATAGCGACTGACGCTACGAATTCGCCGCAGGCTGCCAAAACATGCAGCGGTTGTTATGGCAATGTGGTTGTTCACAGATAGTTCGAGTCCAGCTGAATGCCGAGGCTGCGCACAGAGGATGCAGGTGCGAAGAACTCGTCGCCCACGCGCACAAGGTTGGCTGGAAGCTGATGTTGGCGCCGAGTGGTCGCGAACCAAATAAATTCAGTTTTCGATGCATTGAGCTGGAGCCGGTTGGAACGCATCCAGTCTGAAACGTCGTCCATGCAGGCAGACATCCGGTCTTACAGCGCTACAGCGTCCGCCGGCGCACAGTAGCCATAGATTTGGGTGTCGTCGGCAAACATGTGCGGATTCAAGCTGTGTGAATCAATTATGTGCAACACGTCGGCAGTATATAGCAGGAAGAGGATTGGGCCGAGGACCGGCCCCTGTGGTACGCCGCAGGTGACCGTCGATGGTGTAGAAGAGGAGAGCCCGCGTCGAACACATTGGAGTCTATTGTTGAGGTAAGACTCGAACCACCGCAGCACCGTACCGCGCAGGCCATACGATACGTCTAGCCGACGCAACAAGGTGGCGTGGTCGACCGTGTCAAATGCAGCGGAATGATCGAATAAAGCTAGTGCCGCAATGTTGCCGCGGTCGACCGCCTGCAGAATATCCGAAAGAACCTTCAGCATGGCGGTCTCCGTCGAGTGGTGACGACGGTATGCAAACTGGAGGTGAGACATGAGACCTGACTTATTTAGCTGTCGGGCCACAACGCGCTCGAGAAGTTTCTATAAAATAGACAGGTTGGAGATGGGTCGATACGAATTTGGATCTGAGGCGTTGAGGACCGGCTTTTTGAGAAGCGGCGTGATGTAAGCGGATTTGAAGTTCTCAGGGACAACGCCGTCAGCGAGGGAGCGGTTGAACAGTTCAACCATAAAAGGTGCTAGGCTGGCAACATTCTCCTTAAGTAGATGCGACGGCAATAGGTCGCTGGCGCACTGCTTGTTAGGCAGCGCACGCACCGCAGTGGTGACCTCATCCGCTGTGATGCAGGCGAACTCGCGTAGCACACAGTTGTAGGGGCACGGCGTAAAGGTTGCAGCAGGAGCATCGGCCGACGACGCGCGCACAGCTGAAGTTTTGTTTTCAAAGAACGCATGGAATCCTTCCACGCTCACGTCGCCCGAGGCATCCGCACGACCCCTCCCCATGAGCCTATCCAGCGAACGTCACAGCGCCCGAGGGTCGACGCGCTGTGCATCAACTCTTAGACGCCAGAATGACTCCCTCTTGGATCTAAGAAGGTGGACATGGGCGCGCTGCGCATCCCGCCAGTTGGACGTCGCTTCAGCCCCAACAGCAGGATCGTTACGTCTGCTCGCGCGATGGACAGCCCGCTGAAGCAGCCGAACACCACGCTTCGAGGCGCGACATTCGTCGTGAAACCACGGGTCGGAGGCTCGCTGGGGGACACGAACAGTTCGTGCAGGAATGAGGGCGTAGAGCAAAGATGTCAATTCGATGTCGTAGAATTTTGCAATATCATCCACCGACAGCTCCGACTATGAGTCCGGCCGACCAAGTCGGGACGACTGAAGTCTCCTGCTCAAAACATCGCCGTCGAGATCGCGCCAAGGGCGACAGATGATGGCTCTGTACATCAACGCCGGGCGAACACATGGCACCATCCACTGGAGTAGCCGGTGGTCAGATATTGCGATTTCGATGATGTCAACGGGCAGAAACTGAATGTCGGTACGCGTGATGACAACATCCAGCAACCCGCCAAGGTCATGGGTTGGTAAGGTAACGTGACAGACCATGCCGAAGGCAGACAGAAGATCGTTCAGCTGACGCGCCCATTGGTCGTCGGCACGATCCAGTCGAAGATTAAAATCACCAGTGAAAAAAAACGTGATCAGTGATCGTCACAAGTCTAGTTAAAACGGTGAGGGTCACAAGTCTAGTCGTGATCGGTGAGGGTCACAAGTCTAGTTAAAACATCGCTTAATTCAACAAAAAATCACGTGCAACAGCAACTGATCCGGGACGATAGATGGCGACAGCAACACACGCGAACGAGCCGCAAGCGACCGTGACGCACAGCAGCTTAAAGGTGGTGGGTCGGGCGCCGATGTCGAGCCTGGTCAGATTAACGCCGCAGGCGACGGTTGCTAGTCCGCTGTGATTCGTCACTAGGGTGTTGGCAGCGCGCTAGGCCGTGCACGCTCGACCACTTGGAGTCCTTCTGCCCGAAGACGCGCAATGGAAACCGAGTCAGCATCATGCCAGGTCTCGGTCGAGAAGACGACATCCAGAGAGCGTGAGCGGCGAATGTGAAGGAACTCATCAACTTTGTTGTTCAGCGAACGGATGTTTAGGCTGACGAACATTAACCGGCGACACGACTGCGCGAGTGACGATCGACATGGACGCTGAGCAGGTTATGAGGCCTGCGAGCCGACACAGGTCCACGTTCAGCAGCGGAAGGATCAGCCGACGTACAGTCTAGCACAGATGGCTGCCGTCGTGGCAACGGCAGATTGCCAATTATCACAAACGCACCACCGTCGCACGCAACCCGATACATGGCGGCAGTGCGCCTTTTACGACCGGCACGGCATCCGCATTTATTGTATTGTATTATATTATCTATTTTTATGCACTTAGAAAATGTTAACAGTCTGTTTTGTGCTCTTTATAGGCGGGGTGTCGTGTTGCCATTGTTTTGGTTGAGTCGCCCCTTGCGGGCGAGTGGAAGTTGTGTGTGCTCCGCGATGCGGAGTTGGGGTGCCACGGTTTCGACTCTTAATGAGTAGAGCAAAATCTGGGCTTGCAAGAATAAACTCCACCGTAGTTCTGGACATAACTCGTAAAGAGTTCCACTAACGGACTAATAACGGCGTAGGTGGAGTTCTTGGAGTTCCAGATTTTGGCTGCGTGGGGCGGTTAACAGCCGTTCCATTCGCCCCCTCGTGTTGTAGGGGCTAATAATCTCTGCGCTCGAGTAAATTGAAAGCGGCTTATTGAAGGCTTGTATCCTTCAATAGTCGTGCTTTTGAGGCGTAACTGCCACCCCGTTCCTGTGTGGTTGTCGGCATCGTGGTGCAGCTCGTACCTGTACCCTTGCTTTCTGTTCCTGTGAGGTCGCCAGCATCATGGTGCAGCTCGTGCCTGTACCCGTGCTTTGCGTTCCTGTGAGGTTGTCGGCATCGTAGTGCAGCTCGTACCTGTACCCTTGCTATCCGCTTTTACGATTCTCGACAGTTTATTAGGATTCGTCAACATAGTACCCCTGAAAGCTGAAGTACCTGTCTTCCGGAGCTTTCGGACTTATAGTGAATAATAAATTGTGTGCCTTGTACAGTGGAATTTGTTTATCGTCTGAAAATCACAAATATACTACGAAAAGTCCCTCGTGTTCATTCCTCCTCTCTCCAACGCAAGGGAATTTAGAGCCGGACCAAAGAGCGACTCTTTAGCCCTTGTGTTAAAACCATTACTGAAGTCACCGTCAAGTCGGCACGCTACCCATAACTATTTCGACTTCGCTGCGGTGTTTCCGGTTACATGCATGTGTTTATCAAAAAAAGACCCGTTCAAACCCAAATTTTACATCGATCTTCTAATTGTCTATCGTTTTCAAAATAAGATAAATCAGGGTAATACTTTAGATTAAGTGCATCCAAAAAAGGGTGTTTTTTTAATTATTTGCTTTTTGGGGTGTAGATTAAGAATCTTAAATCCGTTTTTGGCGGTCGGCATCGGAAATTTTTAATTTAACCTGTTCCTAGCTGGACCTAACCTGCGAGGTTTTCGTTGATTGGCTAGGTTTTTCCGGCCGCCGGACGGACTCCAAACATAGAAAAAACCTATTGGCTAGGTTTTTCCGGCCGCCGGACGGACTCCAAACATAGAAAAAACCTATTGGCTAGGTTTTATGGGCCGCCGGACGGACTCCAAACATAGAAAAAACCTAGCCGATCAACGAAAACCTCGCAGGTTAGGTCCAGTTAGGAACAGGGGCCGTATTATCAAAACTTCGTAAGAACGCAAAATCGACTTACGAGTGGCGTAAGTGCTGACTTGATGACGTAACTCTAGAGGTGGTATTATCAAAACATTTGCGCGGGAAGATACGTAACGTAACTGTACGCCTGCTCGGAGATGTCGTAAGTGGAGTTCCGCACAAGTTTAGAGTGTCTGCTGAAGCGATAGGACACTATTGATTTACTAGCAAGTAGCAACACCTTGACTTGTGATAGAATTTTGTCAATAATCCGACAGCGCGGATTATACACGCATAGAATGATGGCTCTACTTATGATGGCTCCACTACTTGATCGTGCAACTTTGCACGATCAAAATATATGTGATCGTGCTAAACGGTGCTATTGGAAAAAAATTCAATTGAGTTAATGCCAGAAACTGATTTTGTTTTCCTTTTACGTTATATTTTACAAGCAAATGTTGATATTCATATCCTAGAGTTTTTTATCATTTACTGAAACAATATCTTTATGCCTTTTTGATTCAAAATTATATGGAGGTTGTCCAGCCAACCATTTTTAGCTCCATACAGTTACACAGATTTCTTCTTCAACTCACGCTGTTTATTAAAAAGAGTTCACAACTATTTTAGAACAGCTCTTTCTGGGCCAACAAGGAGCAATACCGACTCAATACCGACAGGCAGCATTCGATAATAGATACCATCGAAGGCATCGATTCCCGCCATCGAAGTTCACAGAATGTAAACAAATCCAAAGCCTCTGATTGGTCAGTTGGCCAGATGGTTTTGATAATACGCTTTTAGCTAAGTCTTACGTACGAATGTTTTGATAATGCCAAAATTAGGGTGTACTTACGTAACACGTAACTTTTTTGTCGGAAGTACAAAAAGTTACGAAGTTTTGATAATACGGCCCCAGGTTCAATTAAAAATTTCCGATGTCGACCGCCAAAACGGATTTCAGATTCTTAATCTACACCACAAAAAACATATAATTAAAAAACACCATTTTTTTATGCATTTAAACTAAAGTAATACCTAAATCAGTCTACTGTGCGTCATTTAAACTAAATTTATTAGCAACAATGTTAATTACAACACTTCTGTTCAACTTCACTTCATCTACCTGTCCAATCGCTATGAAATTTTGCACATATGCGTGAAGTCGGAGACAATGCATGAATCAATTGATACATTAACTAATTTTGAAATTTAAATTTTTTAATGTATAAAAAATTTAGATTATTTTTTTAATATATGGAAATAAAATTAGAAATTCATTGTAGATGTGTAACATTAAAAACACTGTATTTTTAGAAGCGTTGTCTCTAAAAAGTAATTTTTAAACGCATATTATTTTTAATCTAATCTTAAGCTGCCAGTTTTTAAATGCCATACCATTCTCCCATTAAGAATATAATCCAAGTGCAGTTAATATTGGGACAAGATAAGTATCGTGGATACGCGCTCGAACGGCCTCTATATATTTCCAGAGCCAATATCAAACAAATAAACCAGCAAACAAATGTTAATAAAATGATGCAAATCGTAATTATTCACCTTGGATTGGTCATGATTTCCATAACGGCGTCACGTAAGATCTCCTCAGTTAGGGTGAGCCAGGACAGCTGGATGGCTGCACCAGCCAGCACTAATTTTCCCGCCATGGCTCCGTGCTCGTGGGTCGCGGGGAGGGCGATCACAGGCACGCCGTGGTAAACAGTTTGGTAGACGCCTGCTAGACCGCAGTGGCTAATGAACAGCTTCACGTTTGGGTGCGCTGTAATAAACAAAATTATGATTATATTTATATAATTTATCAGTAAACGCAACGATCAAACATTACATTTCTTGAATGCTCTTTGGGAAAAATTATTATCCTATAAGCAAGTTTGTGCCCTAGCATAAATCAATCAAAATGTGTATCCATATATAGAAATAAACAGTGGGATGCATTTTGCCGAAATAAATGTAAAATAGTTATAATTTTCGTGCTTTGATATATGAAAAAGCTCTAAGTATTCATACGCCTTCGAACATTTCATCATTTTAAAGGTTAGTAAACCTATGCAAATAAAATTTATTGCAAATAAATTCCGACATACAATGAGCGGTCCTGAAAATGCTATGTTTGCTAGAACTCACCTAAAATATCCTGTTGAGGAGCGTTGCCTGTAAGGAGGACATTGCCGCTCCTACTACTTGCTTGTCCGTGCACATTCATTATGACTTTGTATGGAAGCTTCTTGGAGACTGAGAGTAGAATATCTTTTTTGTCTCGAGGAATTGAATCGTTACGTATGAACGATACGCCAAGACCGATGTATATAACCGACGTGTTGCCAGACATGAAGTCCAATATGTCCTGAAATGAAAAATTATTGGTGAAGTTATCCAAATGCTGTGAGAAAGAAGTTTTGGTTTTTAATATTTCAAGAACTCTTAATAATGAAGCACTACAAATTGATATTATCTGTTAACAAATGTCTTCGAGGACTTGGATAGTCTGAAGATCGGAAATTTTCCCGTTATAACATTGCAAGAAATGTTTTAACAGAATATATCCACTCGCGGTTTATATGGCTGGACTGCCAACACGCATGATTCATAAAGCCGTTATTCATATTCCTGCAGGTGCAAATGAACGTTATTCCATTGTTATCATTTTTCGTATTGTGTTATTGTTATGTAAGTTCATTATATATACGATACTCATGTACTTATAACTATAACGTAGTAAGTAAGAAACCTTGGGTAGAGGTTGTGGCGGCATCAGCACGAGTCCGGCGATGGGCACCTGATTAGGTAGCAGAGCCAGCGGACCATCCAACGCTAAACTGGTCGTCAGGAGATGCAGGCTCGCATTCCGTTCGATTTCTTTCAGAGACGGAAGCCATGGGAAGCGTTCGCTCAACTGTAGAGCAAATGAGTTCAATTCTACGTTGCCAGTGACACTTTAGAGTAGTAAATATTATATATATTGATAATTTAATCGTGAGCCAAATTGACGTTACTGATAACAAATTAAATTCAAAGATAGACTTTGGCTGACTTCCGTGTCTAGAAGATAATGTCAAGCTAAAGTGTTCGATCGCTTACAGTTAGCACTTCTAATTATGTATGATTTCCTTTGTAAATGTCGTGGCACCGAGGCTTGAAAAGGAAACGCTATCTCCTCGCGACTATTAATTTTATCCCTGCAATATGTCTCTTTGAATATTTAAAATATCCTCGATTATATCTTGGGCACTTCCTTGAACATATTTTCTTACTATTGAATAATAATAAAATCTTTATTCAAACACTGATATTTGAATGGATTAGACGCTTACGAGAGTCTCACCAGTTTTTCTGTTTGTGAAGGGATCGCCCAATGAACGTAGCACTGAGCTATAGTTAGTGCAATGTTCTTGAGCCGGTCAAAAAATCCATAAGGTTGCTTGAATTCCATAAGGTTACTTGAAACGAAAGCTGGATTTGGGACGTTCCCCAAGCTTGCGCTCTGACATGGCAGGAGAGCTGAAGTCGAAAAGATTGCGAACGGCGTGCCGTGCGCGAAAGGGTAGAAGATCTGCAAGTGTAATGACGTTACATATAATAGAATGTTATTGACGTATTTGTCTCATTATTTTGCTGGAATAGCAAATTAGCGAAGAATCTAAAAGCAGAGATAGCATGAGAACAAGTCACTTGAGCAAATCTTTGTTGAAATATTTCAGAAACCAGCTTAATGACCGCTTCAAAGTTTAAAGAATATATGTAGGAGCTATAAGGAATTGAGACGAAAATTTCCTCGGGCGAGATTAAAACGCGGCACCGAAATCAAATTATCCAGTATACGCCACAAGCGGTAAATTGTTGAGAACAAACAATTTAATAATAACCAATGAAGTGAATGCAATTGAAATGCAAAAAAAAAAAACAAATATAGGAATGTAAGGTTGCTATGGATTCGTTTGTATAAACTATTTCAGTGTGCGTTGAGGTTAGCTTAGTCGAAAAAATTACGAATAAAATAGGTAATAATTCAAACTCATGTTTGTATTGAAACAGACAAATTGGTACCGAAAATTATTAAGAACCTCCATTAATTTTCCAGAAAACACTGCATTTCACATCGAATTAATTATTGCTAAATGCTAATTTGAGAAACTTACAGACAAGCCCAAGTGATCAATCACGATCAAGTCGTATTCTCCCCGACGCTCGAAGATTTTCATGGTTACATCTGAATTGAACATTTTCTCTACATCGTTTGCTGCCGCATTAGTGAAAGTTTTCAGAAACGAAAGGGGATTTCGCACGACATCAAAAGTGTCGAAATCTTCAGGCGCACTAAGACGAACGCCAGGATTAATGCACGTCACGTTAGGGATTTTGAAATGGTAGGAAGAGTCGCAGAACATGTGCACCTGAGGGAATATTTGTGACAAATTCAAATTTTCAAATTGAGACAAATTCAAATTGTGAAAAATTCATGATCAGAACGGTAAGGCTTCATTACACCTGCTGCGACGAAAATGATATTTTAAACTATTTATGTTATTATTCGATGACTGCGTATATAACAGATGGGATTTCAAAACAATTATCAATTTAGTCACTGATGTTCAAAATCAAAATAATTTTACTTGTTACTTGTATAAATAATTTTACTTGTACTTGTACAAATAATTTTAGACTTGTTATTTATATTAACATGTGAACGGCAAAAATCTGATTTTAAAATTGCTTAGGTGTTCGTCTAATTACAAATTTTTACCGTTTAAATCAGATCGTTCACAATTTCAATAAACTATCTTAAAATTCATTCGTATTTTGGGGAAATATTATTTGTTGAACAGCAGGAAATACTATTTGAATTGTTAAACTCGAATTTGTGAACTATACCTATGAAGGACATGGTCCTTGGCAAATGACCCAATATGAACAGGAATTAGAACTAAAAATGTTGCAGCTAATTGGAAGATTGACATTTCATATCGGTGACTATTTTGTACTATATTTTCAAATAAAAACTCAGTTATTGAATCGTAATTGAGACAACTGTTGAACAATAACTGCCCGCCATCATTTACCTCGTGTCCTCTTCTAGCCAAGTCGACCATCAGGGGCGCTGCGACCCATACGTGACTCTTAAAAGTGGGTGGTAACAAGAACAATATTTTAAAACTCTCAGTAGGAAGTGGGACGGAACTCTTGAAATATTCTGTTGTCCAGGCTGCAGTAGCCGTGCTCAAAACTGACAACAACATCAATACCTGTAAACAAACAAAGTTGGAAAAACTGTCAATATATTATCAAGTCATGATTTATGAGCGAATTTATCAACGTATTTAGGCGTAAGTGATCAGATTTTTTTGGAGGATGATTTGAAAAAGGTAATAACAACATTCAGAATTAAACCACATAGCAGGTTCAGGGCAGATCTTTGACCAAAAAAGAGAGGCTCAGTCCCGGTAGTTTAATATTGATATTAAAGAGGTTCTCAGTATGGCCCTGGATAATGCTGGCAGGGTTAGTTACTAAAACCACCTGGCGCTGCCAAGATAGATATATTACGAAACCGTAGCGCCAACTGACAACAACAAAAATGCGAATATGCACCACAGCTCAGGATAAGATGGGATTAGTAGGGTTTGGATGATGCACATTATTTAAACCAAAATGGCTAATAATGCATAGTTCTCACACCAATAGGATAATTCCAGATACAATCACCAGATATTGGAGCAGCCTCCAAAACGTAACGCAACACAATTACAGGTAAGCCTTCCTAAAGTATATCCAATGAAGAGTTCAAAGTCCCGGCAGATAAAATCAATGGGTTTCGCCGTCATATACACGTTAAATAATTGAAGGTAATCGGCCTACCACTCAAAGGCTAATATTAGGTGTTTACTTGGATATTGGGTGAAACAAGCGAACACCGTGCCAAATAAAATGGGTGCCTTAAAATCACTGTTACTCCGTATAACTAGGTACATTTTAACCGGAATCACATTTGCTTAGCTTCTTATGCCTCACATGGATTGGAAGTGATTTGACTTCAGGCAGGATTCTCGGTCAGGCAGGATTCTACAGTATAGCGGACAAAACCTTTAGACATATTTTCCGCCACCTCCAAATGTCAGCTTATGCCGACGCATCAACGACCGACTACTACGGAAAACTCCCCACTTATCTTCCTATGGTACTTTTATTATTAATATTTTTAATCCTTTATTTCTGGTCATTAATTTGCGTACCCGATGGTTCATTCAATGAAGCATTCGCTCTCTGTTCTAACGAGCTATGGGTGTGAACAGATTGCTATCATTGTAACAACTGGAAGCATGCTGATCATAAACTGTAAACTTATAAACTTTTTATTGAAAAAAGTATTCACTGAGATATCTTAGTTAATTACTGAATAAACTATGGGAACGGAAGAGAGATATCGAGCTAGGGCATGCAGTGATCGGCAAAAATTGCAGCAGTACGTCGGCCTTAATTGTCACGGGCATGCAATAATCTGTTATAAATAACTATTCTGGTTATATTCACCCTGATATTACTCACAGCAATTAAATTTTCTTCTTCACTTTTATTTTGTCTAAATGAGTTAAGTGTCAAACGTGCTATTTGTTTAAGTATTGATCGATTTGCTTAGTTCCAGTGAAGCTATTGAAACTTCCATCTGACATCAGGGAACCGTCGAGAATAAAAAATTTCAAAATTAAATTTTATTTCAAATTTGAAGCCTTTACCAATCGATTGAGAAATGAGAAAAATAAAATTTAATTTTATTTGAGGGCCGTGCCTCAAAATCAGACTCAGAAAAACTGTCTCATTTTCCCCCTATTTAAGCAATTCCCTACAAACAAATAGCGAGAAAAGCTCCAGGAAAACTGTGCCGGACATCCCATGGCCTCCGGGTAGGCCGAGTTTCTGACTGTATTACAGAGCAGACTTGGAACTACTGCACACCTTGTCATCGCGTTGTGTATGCAGTGAACTTAACTCTTCAAATGACTGCGTTTGGCAAACGAAGATATCCTTGTATGATTTTAAATTGAAACATTGCCTGATTTTGCAATCACAGTCTATTGAATGGTTAGCAAGGTTCATTAATTGATGGGGCAGCTATTTTTTGAAAGAACGTCGGGAGCGATAGAAGCATGTTTAAGGTACTCTACTATATCAGTATATTACTTTGTAATATCAGTATCGTCCATGACACGGTCATGGACGACTGACGGTCACGTCAGTCTCTAAAACCTAAACATTTTTTTTTGTCGCTGAACTTGTACGAGATCTATCATCAAATTTAATAAATTTTAGATGCTGAAAATGGATGCTTTTTATCTTGGTAATGGGTCTATCATTGGCCCATAAATTTTACCGCTCGTGCATGAATTACCATCAGAACCATAACTGTAAAATAAATATGAATTCCTACGTAAAGTAAAAGCTTTAAATTTGAACATCATATGTGACACGCCTTGATAAACACGTTGTTTTTCATTAATACTGATACTAATTATATCAATCAAACTATTATTCGAAATAAAGCCTTAGTATTAAGTGCGAATTATTGAAAGAGAAATAATTTTGAAACATTTTTTTTATATTCATATCTATAAGTATCAAATTGCTCGTAAAAGAAAATTAACTCATTACAACATAAGGAATTTAAAAGCAAAGAAAACGCCAAGAAAATTCACCATATCGATATTGAAAACGTTTCGGAGTCCAGCTCCATCATCAGTTCGACTAAGAAATTTCACGCCGCGTGAAAAGCCGTCGTGTGTGAATAGCAGTGCACATTTCGTATGTCCGCTGAGGTTCGGCGGGAAATCCCGCGGCGGTTTTATTCACGCCCTGTGTGAAAGGGGCCTTACTTTTCATGTATTTGGTTTCATTTCCTAAAAATGTATTTCTTTGCCATGCTGCTACAATCATACACGTTTAATTTAATTAATTAAACTCGTCTTCTGTCCCCTCATAGGTTGATTCACAACTTACATTCCTGCTCAGTGTCAGCTCCAAAAAAATGAAGGTTTGTTATTTTTTAAGCGTTGCCACTTATGTTGTAATTACTTATATCATTAGTCTGCTTATATCGCAAGTTCACAAGGAATTTAAAAGCAAAGAAAACGCCAAGAAAATTCACCATATCGATATTGAAAACGTTTCGGAGTCCAGCTCCATCATCAGTTCGACTAAACTAAAAATGAATAAAATCACTTTAAAAGTCAAAATTCAAAGACAGACATAAAACCTAAACAAGACCTA